GTCCCCGTCCCCTGCGGGGGCTGCAGGCGGCTCGGAAAGCAGCAGGTGGGCGCCCCCCGGGGCAGCCTGGGCAGCTCCTCCTCGCCCACCGCCTCGCCACCCGCCCGAAGCCGGCGGGTTGCAGCCCCACGGGCAGCTCTGAGTCACTCTCATGGGGTTTTCGTTTTGGGGTTGGTTTTTTTTGTCCTTGAGGTTTTGAGCCAGTTTTTAATTCTTGATATATTAATGCTGTGGCATAGGGACGTGGTATCTGAGGTCAAGGACATCACAGGAAGGTGCTAGTGCTGTGCACATCTTGTTGGGTTTGTAATTGACAGCTTGCTGTGAGTCAGTGGTAAACTAACATCTCAGAGCAGTGCTGGTGGAGATGTTGTCTGTGGAGTAGCATCTTAAATGCAAACCAGAAAATCTGGTAGGGTATGCTCACATTCTGACTGCTTGCCATCAAATGTTTTAGCCTTCTGTGTGTGTGAGGATGTGATATTTCAGGTGTCTAGGTAGGCTGCAGATGCTAGTCCAATATATGCTTGTTACTGCTTTAATATTTAATGTAACTAATGTGAAATGATTGTGAAAAGCTGCAGGAGTTGTTAGAATAAATCTCTGCACCAGTAGTGGATGGAACTCTACTTTCAGAGGAAATGATATTATGTAAATGAGACTTAAGTACAATGCACCACCAAAGATGTTACATTTAGGTAAAGTACTCTTTTTAGTTTCTCAGTGATGTTTTTTCTACTTGATGTTTTTTTCAGTACCCCAAGCGTGACCATAAAATAGGATTCTTTGCCTGATGCACCAAACTCCTTAAGTACTTCTTTTGCCATTTGATCACGTGTCTTCAACTACAATGGTAAGTTATGACTCCGGTAATGTATTTCCAGATCCTTTTGCTCTAGTCTGCATGCTGGCTGGCTGGTGAGGAGAATGCCATTATGGTGTCACGTTTTCTTAAGAAAAATTCCTGTGTTACTCCTGAGTTCTCATAGTTCTTTTTTCAGGGATGTCTTACCCAGAAAGCAATGAGGATTCAACATTTTCTTAAACACTCCTAGACACTTGAAAATTTAAATGTTATAGAGTGGCAGGTTCAGCTGAGCCATAATACATTAAGTAGGTGTTTTTTTTCATGAACAGGTAAGAAAATTTGTGTTAGATTGTTGTAGATGAATGGTAAAAGGCTGAATGGTTTTGTTGTATATTTCTTGGTTACTTCATTGTAGTGTAGTATGTTCTTCCCTGAATTCTGTTCTAACAAAATACAAAGTATTTATTATCCATGAAATAACTGGGACTGCCATGGATTGGACATAGCTTACCTGCCTTCTATTCCTGGAGGTTTGAGTAGAGGTATTTGCTTCTGCAAACAGCTGATAGGTATAGTTTAAACTGAGGAAATAGCATATATGGGAAGCATAATGTGGGAAGAGGTATCTATTACGTATGTTTCTAAGCTTTGCTGAGAGAGTGGGGGGTTCTCTAAAATGCTTTTATGTATTTTTTTGACTAGTGTAGCCTTTTTAAAAGGTTGTGGTTGTGGAAATTATATGTTAATTGTTTAAGTGACAGGTTTTTTGCTATTGTTATTGCTTGTCACCAGTGCATTCCTAGGGACTTTTATCTACCTGCCACTGAAGTGAATGCATTGCTTCTCTGGACTTACCTGGAGATGAATCAAGCCCTAAGCATTCTCCTGTTCTTTGTGTTCTTCTCTCTCCTGCCTGCCCCAAATCACTTTCATTGTCTAGTTCATTTAGCAGCTGCACATTATTCCTGCACCAAGGAGGTGCCAGAGCTAAAGTGAGTGGCAGAGAAGGAGCATTAGGAGTCAAGAAAGACTTTCTCTTTTCTTGACACATTTATTCTGGCTTGACAATTGTAAAATTGACAAATTGTCAAATTTCAGTCCAAGAACTGCTTATTCTTATCTATAAAGCTGTTTGCTCTTCTTGAAATACTGGTGTATCAACTGCAGGTGTACTGAAGTGAAAGACATTCCAGAGGAGCTGAATTCATTAAAGTAAATGGTATTGAGTAGAATATGCTATGAGATATAGAGAAGCTTTTCCAGATTTTGTTGTATACCATAGGATTGGGTAGCTTTGTAGCCTGCCTTGGAGGAAATCTGGAGTGGAAGCTGGTTTGGTTTCTTAGCCACCTAACAGTATGTCATAAGAAACTCTTCTTAAATTGTGTTGTGTGCAGAAGTAACATTCTGAGCAAAAGGTCTTAATTTTGTAGAAAAATGACTGTACTAATATCTGGGTACTGGTTTCTAGAAGTCCATTTCTTGGGCAGCTGTTCAGGGATGCTTTGGCCTAGCCTTCCTGTTGAAATAGTAACCAGCTTAAGAAAGGAGAAGAGGTTTTCTGCTTGTCATAGCTAATTGTTTTGGTTAATATTTGTTACTTCTTTTATTAGGTGTAATTTCTAAGCCTACTTTTAATTCTAATTGCCTTTCATTGTTCTAAGGCCCCATAACTTAACCAAAACCTTGCGATGCAGTTACATGAGGTTTCAGCTGCTAAGTTTACTGTGTGCCAAAGAATGTTTGAGCCCATCTTCTAAGTGTAAATTCGTGTTAGTAATAGTAGAGTTTTTGTGGTGGTTTTTATGTATGAGGATGTTTAAACAAGTCACGTAAATCTAAAAACACCTTTGTGATTCTTGCAGCAACAAGCTTTAGAACTGGCATTGGATCGTGCCGAGGTAAGGAGCAGCTGAATTACTTGTTTGCACATAATATATTGGTCTCACAGTTAGAAAAATACCGTAGCTTTTTTATTTCTTCTGAGAAGCAGTAGTAAAGCATGTTATGTAAAATATTTGTGTGTGTGTGCAGAAATAATCACCCATACATGTAACACTGCATTCACAAAATTCTCACTGAAATTGTTATCACCTATTTGTCTCTTACCCATTGTACTGAGAACATCAGGTGCAATGATGATGGACTATGCCAGACTTCAGTTTTTCTTTGTTAAAACCAGCAAATCTATGTGCTGTGAAATAAGCAGAGCTCTACAGTGACAGATGGCAGAAAAATATGGTAAAATCATGTTAGTGTTGTTAAGTATAGCCAGTTAGATCAAAGAGGGAAGTGCCTTCACATTCATGTTTCTCATGCTGACATCTGATATAAGTTACCTTGAACCCTGTTAAGGGAAATATATGTTTCTGTGGGAGAACCTCTCATCACTGAAATTCTAAACTAACCTGTTAAAGTACTTCAGATGAACAATAGAGATTTGGAAAAACCTTGTTAGAATATAAATTACATTTTATGTAGGATGATATATCTCTTTACACTTTTTCAACTCAAGTATTTAATGTACATGAATTGTATTTATAATGCACAGGTCTATAGAGGAAACTGATGTAAATGCAAGAGATAAATGAAAAACATTTCCTGAAGTTAGTTTTATTGATGAGTACTTGATTTGTAAATAGTGTTGAGCCACTATGTATGAATTTGGTTGTATCTTAGTTTGTTAACCACATTAACTTCAGTAACATTAACTAAGTACAGTACTCTTAATTACTACTGTAATTATAACTGTAGTTCAGCATGAATGTAGAATCAAGACAGAGTGTGCAGCTAATGCCATAGCCATGAAATGCTGTGTTTGACAGCTAAATTGGGTAGCTTTCTTGTTGATGACTATAGAATAAACCTGATCATGTTTAATATACTTTTGGAACAGTCATGTATTATAACTGTTCATTGCTTTCTGTATACAGGGAATGCTCTCTGGCAATGATCTAAAGTTGTGTGGCAGCTAGAATTAAATTTCTTTTTAATACGTTATTTTTTGTCTGTTTGCTTTTCTCTCTCTTGTAGTATATCATTGAAAGTGCCCGTCAGAGACCTCCCAAAAGAAAATATTTATCCAGTGGAAGGTACTAAGAGTTTCAGTATTTAGTTTTTAAATAGCATTTCTTTGATTAATTTTGGTTACATGTTAAGCTTTTTTAATTTCAGAAAATCTGTATTTCAAAAACTCTATGACTTATATATAGAAGAATGTGAAAAAGAGCCTGAGATAAAGGTAAGTGGAAATTGCTGAGAAGCTTTTCATTTCTGAACTCACCTATTCTGGACAGCAAATACTTCTTTTTTGTATTTCACTTGATTTTCTTTGTTAAAAGAAGAATAAACTCTTCTTACTATAGTGGTTACCTAAGGTTAAGACCGCAGGGGAAATGATTATTAGGACTTTTGTGGACTAAACTGTGTAATTTAGTAGCATCATCTTAGTTCAGTTTGAAATAAAAACAAGGTCATGGGACGGCCAATGTCTACCTGGTAGCCATAAGTCTGTTTTGAAAGGTAATAAAGTAGAATGCTTGCAGAAGATTGTATATAGTGTACTCTTGAGCTGCTTTTCTTTATATGAAAAGAGAGAGTTTCAAAAGAATGGTCTAGAATGAAAAGGTGTATCTAACACATTTGTTATAGAACAGTACTATTAGAATAACAGCAATAATAATATGAGTAGCAAGGCCCAGACTGGCTTGATGACCTGTTCATTGTGTCTTAATCCTGTGTCATTGAAGTCAGTCGTGGTCAAGTTCAGGGCCAGTGTCAATGCCATGTGCATTGTTGTTGGTATCACTGTTTCAGAATCAATGGCTTAATGTGACTGCCATGGGAAAAAATGTGGATAATTTTTTAGACTGTGTTTTATTGCAAATTCAGATTTTTTTCATAACTTTAGCAAAACAGCTCCAACAGGTCTATCAACATCAATAAATATAAGGTGTAAAAGGCACAAGCTACTTTGCTAAACTGTGACTGTCAAATGGAACAAGAAGAACAAGCTGAGAAATCTGCTGTATTCTTGCTCCCAAGAAAATAAAAATGAATGAGAAGGCAAATGGACATGAGATATTAGTTACTGAGCACTTGTAATTCTTTGTGGTGATTCTTATATGGTGGGTTTTATTTAGTATAGGAGTCTGATTGAAATCACGAACATGAGATTTTAAGCAAATTACAGACCTGAAAAGATTAAAACTTCAGTAATAAATCAGTAATAAAATATTTGAGCAGCAGGGAGCAGATCAGGATTGCCAGACTGGAATCTAGGAAAAACCCTAGGATTTTAATGCAGTTGGTCTTTCATGAAAGGCACTCAGCAAACTTATGCAACTATAATACAATTGAAGTAGTGAAGAGAGTTATAACATCACAGTAGGTGAAGTGGTTTGTTGCTGGTCTAGATTTGAGTAAAAATTTAAGTTCTTCTTTATTGAAGGATTGGAAGCTTCTGATAGAAGAATTTGTATTTAGAGCCCTTATTCACTGAAGATGTGGATTGTTAATAAATGTCTTGGGTTTATGTTATGTAATAATCGAAAATGAGAAACTCAATGATAGAGGTTAAAAGATAATGCTACCGTGAAACTTCCTCCACAAGCATAGGACTGTTCATTTGTCTCTCAATTTGCACAGTAAAATTTAATTGATTTTTTTAATTATAATTTGGTCCATGACTTGTCTGTAACTTAAAGGTTTTGGTGTGCAGAACTGTTGAAGTTTGTATTCCAGTATTGCACCATTTTGATGGTACAAGTTGTAATGATGTTGTCTGCTCATAAGCAATTTTTAAATTAACACTGAATTTTGGTTTTTTTCAGTCTTAACTTTCTCCCTAGTTGATTATTCTTTGTCTGTTAGTCCAGTCTGCCTAGTTTCATTGCTTTTCAGCATCTCTTCTATATTTGCATATTGACACTAGAGAGAGAGAGAGAGAGAGATAACTATGTTGAGGTGGTTGTCTAGAGCAGTTTGTTTCATTTGGACTCTAGCGAGCAGTGTTCCTGTACCTAAAGGTTGAAAGAAAAAATCAGGCCTTCTGTAAAATAAGGCTCACAGCTATTTCTGGCATACACAGACAAATTGTTCAGGAAAAAAAGATTAATTGGTTTTTTAGAAATTCCGTGAGTGGTTACTAGTTATTCTAAATTATTTGGTACCTGTATTTTGGATGGAATAATGCCCTTAATTGAATGATCCTTTTTCTTCAGCTCTTGAAAATATACAGTTGAATTAGAAGCGTTAACAGTATTAGTAACAGCTTCTAGAAGCCATATTGGTTCTGTCCCAGTGATAGAGGAATTGTATATTTATTGTCTTACTTGTTATTTTTAAATATGACTTTAGTGTAATTCATTTCTTAACCTCCTTTACATAACTCTTAAAGAATTCTCATGTTCTTTTCTGTCCTAATGCCATAGCTAAATAGGAAAGTATTAATCTATCCAGCACTGGGGAGCATACACAAAGACTTCTATCAAAAGATGACAGTATCTCAGTTTTTGAGAGAAGATTCGGAGTAGTTGAGTGCAGACTTTGTGTTCAAAGGGCAATCAATGTACTTCAGACTACTTCTGATTGTGTCTAAGTGACATCCCAATAGCTATATCTACTACTCAGTGTGTGAAAATTCAAGAAATGCACATGTAGCCTCCTGGTTTTTGGTAGATGGTGGGGGGTGAATAGTAACTGAAGGTGGTTTTGCACAACATGGTGCATCTCTAGCATCCTGTATGAGAAACTGGGTTTCATGAGCAGTCTCTTACCTCTGTTGTTGCTGTGACATATTCCCCCATTCTCCCCTGCTCCTCCAGTT